AGTAGGTTTGCAGCTTACAGGTACACACCTGAACAGCATACTCAAGATTGCAACAGCACAGACATTTTGATGCAATAATTCAGAGCAAGAGGTGTCAGTTATCAGACACTGTTAAATAAACAAAATATTGCAAGAGTGCTAATGTTTTAAGCATGTTTTTATTTTAAGTTAAAAGAAACCTTTGTGTTTGTGTCCTTTATGAAGTTTATATCTTGTGGCCCAGCCTGACAAGGTCTCATTTAGGTCAGATCCGGCCCTCACAGCAAATCAGTTCGACACCCCTGCTCAAGACTATCGAGGAAAAGAGGCAGTACTGGCCTCCTTGAATCCAGAATAGCTCCATCCACCCAGGGAATCTACTGGTTCCTCTTAGCCTGGCTGGCTGTAAAGACGTCTAGGGTGAGACCTCAATCTCTGCTTGGGCAGCAGCCAGGTCAGGTGTGGCCAAACATGCCTAACGTAAGGGCCACATAGAATAAACGTGAGATGTTTGGGAGCCGCAAGACATGAACAAATATCACACACACATTTTTACTGGAAAATATGCATATTTGCTGTTTATTAACATTAAATGAGACTGCCAAAAATAAACACAAAAGGGGTAAAGACAGGTATTCAGGGGTCATTTCCTGCAGGAGTGCACAGTAGCAGAACTCTGGCAGTAAAGAGCCCAGGGGGTGGGCACCTGCAACAAGCCCCACCCCCTGCTCCCAGCAACCTTCAGTCAGAGCAAGAAGCAGCCAGGTAAGTTGCAGAGCCCCCCCTCCCCGGGCCCAAAACAGTCCAGTGGGACCTTTAAGACCAAGTTTTATTCTCCCTCCTCTGCGAGGACAGATCTGCACGTTCCCCAGGTACAAGCTCTCCCTCCTCTGTGAGGACAGATCTGCATGTCCCCCCCCAATAGCTAGCAATCCAAAACAGTCCAGTGGAGCCTGAGCGGTGGGTGTTGCCTTCTGACACACTTCTGGTGATGTCAGGGGGTGTGGCATATGCAAATAAGTTATGCTAATGAGTTATGCTAATGAGCTCCTGCACCTCTTTTTCTACGAAATGACCCATGCAGGTATTGATAACGATATTTATGAATCCAATGATACTTGTAGGCTGGGGGAGGGGGGATTGAGAATGCATTTAAAATTAAAGTTAGCTGTTGTAGATTTTTCCGGATTGTATGGCTGAGGTCTTGGCATTGTAGGACCTGCCCTTTCACCAGTAGTTCTGACTGGCATCCTCAGAGGTATAACACAGAAAGATGGAAAATCTGCAACAGCTAATGAACTCCGGCCGTGAAAGACTTCGACAATATATTAAAGTTAAAGTTGCTTTCTTCCTCTGTTCCCCCACCACACACCTCAAGCCTACCCAGGGAGGGGAACACCATCTGGGGAAGGGAAGACCGATGGGGGAGGCACGCCTCCCCTTCGCTTCCCCAGCCGCCCTGCCGGGAGCCACACAATATGTGTGGAAGAGCCTCATGTGGCTCCCGAGTCACAGTTTGGCCACCCCTGAGCTAGACTGACCCCCCAAGAAGCCGAATTCCCTGCTCCTCTTGCTTCCTGCTTGGTTTTTCTGCCTTCCCCTCTGGCCTAGGCCTCCTGCATAAATTTCCCTCTGGCCTTTGGTTAGGGTTGCCGGACCTCCTCCCCGGTGGAGGCGGGCGTCCCCCCCCCCCGTTGACAGGCCCCACCTCCCCACCACCGATCAGCTGGCCGGTGGGGGGCGGGAACTTAGCCCAAAAAAGGAGAGAGATCCATCCGACGTGCAGCAATGCGTCTACATCACTGCCCATGTGACAGGGAAGTGACGCCATCACATCTGGGACATTATGGTGACGCTCTGTTATTTGGGCAAAGAAATTATGGTAGAAGCCAGATTTACCATACAGTTTTTTCCCAAATACCAGAGTGTCACGCCAGGGTCCCGGACATGAGGACGTCACTTCCGGCTCAGGTAGGCAGTGACGGAGACATGTCGCTGGATGGGCCTCCCTGCTGCTCCCAGGAAGTTCCCCCTTCCCTGCTGGTTGCCTGACAACCCTACCTCTGATCTCTCATTCATTCCACCAGGACTCATGCCTCTAGCAGCCTGCACTCCTGGCGACCTGTGCCCCAGCGCAATCACCCAGGGCGGAGCCAAACGGAAGAATTCAGGCGGCGGCTTTTGACACTAACGCCTCGCTTGCTGCGGGGGCGCCATTCCTGACCGACAGATTGGCGTTTGGTCCCTCCTGGTGCGAGGAGTGGTCCGACTTGCTGGTGCTGCCTTCCAGTACGGGGAGGCCAAAGCGCTTGGCCCGGCTCCCCTCCGCGCCCGGCGCAACGGCCAGGAGACAGCACAGCAACCTGAAGATGGCCCGCCGCAGGTCCTTATTGGTCAGGGTATAAATGACGGGATTCAGCAGAGAGTTGATCATCGCCAAACCCAGGAAGTAATCCGCCTTGTAGAGTACGCCGCAAGCTTGGTTCTGGCACGCAACGTCCAGCAGTAAGAGGAGAAACAGGGGCAGCCAGCAGGCAATGAAGGTGCCCACCACGGTGGTCACGGTTCTCAGCAGGGACATGTACCTCTTGGATGTCTTCGGCACGCCCTTGTACAGGCGGCCCAAGCGCTGCCCGTTGAACTTGACCATGCAGTAGATCCGGGCGTACAGCACCACAATGGAGAGGAGGATGACCAGGAAGACCACGATACAGAAGAGGACGTAGTGCTTGGAATAGAGGGGCAGCACCGTGGAACATTCCGGAAGGCAGCCGAGGCAGTTCCAGCCCAGGAGGGGCAGCGCCCCGAGCGCGAAGGAGGCCACCCAGGTGGCCCCCACCAACAGGAGCATGCGCCTTTTCTTGTCCCCGTGGTAAAGCCGCACGCGGACCATGGTGATGTGTCTCTCAACGGCAATCGCAAAGAGGCTGAGGACGGAAGCGGCGAGTGTGACAAAGACCCCCGCCTCACGTAGAAACCACTGGAGGGGAGTCAGCCGGAGAGTGCTGGGCCCGGATAGGACGATATTGGCAGCGTAAGCGACTCCAGCCAGTAAGTCCGACAGGGTTAGATTCCCGAGCAGGTAGTACATGGGCGCATGGAATTTCTTGTTCCTCCATATGGCCAGCAGAACCACGAGGTTTTCGGCTACTGTGAAGGCGCACACCACCAGGAAGACGATGGCGTTGACTTGGAGTCTCCCCTTGTATTTGCTATTGTAGAGCTTCCCCGTGTAGTTATAGTGCAGGGGAATGATGTTGTCGTTGTGATACTCCGGGTAGAGCTGGACCCAGTGGGGTGGAGATTCCATGCTGACGGATTCCATCCAACTGGTACCCCCCAACCTCACTCACTTTAGGACGTGCGAGTTTGCACATGTTCTTTAGGACGTGCAAATATTCGGCCCCCAACCCAAGTCATGCTGTGCCTCCACTGTGTGTGTCCCATGGGGCAAATGCCGCTGTTTCACTAATATTCTCATCCCCCCATCGTAGTCCTGGAGAAGCTATTGCAGCCCTTGCAATCAAGGAGAAACCTAGAGATTCGACAAGAAACAGATGTTAAGATGACAACAGCAAAGCCAGGTGAGAATGGTAGAAGAGGGAAGAATCCAAACAGCAGAAAAAGAAAAGGAGCTCTCTGGGACAAAATCTGAATGCAGGTAGGCCCATACTGCCTATACAGCTGTCAACAATTCATGAAAACTGACCCCAAAATAAATATTTTCATCTTTAAGATCTTTAAATATCTTTTAAGTCTTTCGCGTGCTAACCAGAGTTACAGGCTTCCAAGCCCATTGACTTCATTGGACTTGGAAGGGTATATCTCTCCATAGGATAGGGTTTGCAAGCTCTTGGGATCCAGTGCCTCTGAACACTGGAACTTTGCCTCCCTCAAAGGTCTTGCTGCATCCCTGGAACTCTGCAAAAAGTTGAGGGAAGTTTCTCCCCAACTTCCAACTCGGACACAGCAAGGAGTGTTCCGGGGACATTACCAGAATGTTCTGATCCCTCCCCTTCCCCTGTCCTTCTGGGACCTGGTGAGGAGTTTATTTATTACTGTTTACCAGGGCTCATTTCGTAGAAAAAGAGCTAGGGGGACTCATTAGCATAACTCATTAGCATATGCCACACCCCCTGACATCAGGGGCCCAGCGGTGGACCTGCAAGGCCGGCGGGAGTGCGAGGAAGCTCCGCCAAGGCCCTCCCTGGCCCCAGGAGGCAGGGGTGGGGAGAGGTGAGGAGGAAGCAACTTACCCTCCCTCTTCTCCTGCCTCCTCCTGGCTGAATGAGGGCTGGAAGCGGGGCAGCTGGAAGCAGGGGGCGGGGCTTCATCGTGTGCCCCGCCCCCCTGCACCTCACCCGGGGGAACTGCGTTCCGTCCTTTTCTCCCCTGAAATGACCTCTGCTGTTTACCTCTTTTAACACCCCACTTTCCTCTCCAGCAGGGACCCAAAATGGCTCATAACGTTCTGCCCTTCTCTACTTTAACCTCACAACAATCCCGTGAGGTAGGTGAGGCAGAGAGGGTGGGACTAGTCCAAGGTCACCCTGCGAGCTTCTGTGGCAAAGTAGGGATTCAGACCTGGACATGGGGCAGTTTTGCTTCTGTGAGAGAGATAAAGCTATAGATCATGTAGGCCCCTAAACAGCGAGGCTGATGCCTTCTGTCACCAAGGAAGTGGTTTTCTCTCTGAAGTTTTTGTGTCAGAATTCCAAAGGTGCCCCACAGGCTCAGGGAGGGTGGGGACCCCAATGTGATCCTTCAATTAGTATGAACAAGCTAGCTGGGTATAAAGGAAAAGTGTCTATTACCTTTAAGGGGAGATGGGGGCAGTGGCTAACAAAGCAATAGATAAAAATACAGAAGGCGCTCAGTCTCATCAAAGTGGCAGTGGGGGGAAGACAAGTGGGACAAGTACCATAAGTAAGCCCCACAACCATCCCACCAATTGTCACAGGGCGGCTAGAATACTTTGCTCTTAACGTGGGCTGTGGTCACACTGGAAGCTTGGCATGATCTGGCAGCACTTCTGTTTGCAGCAGTTTAAGTCGTTGCGGGAAGGGGTGACCAGACAGCACACCCTGAACTTAGTGGCCTCACTGCGTGTTGCGGGTGGCTTCTTTTTTTAATTTGTCTTTTGCACATGCGCATAACTGCTTATTCCAAGCACTGCTCCATTTTGACAGCTGGGGGAGGCTGCCTCCTCCTCTGAAAAAACTCATCTTTTCAATTAATCCTGCACCCTCTGTACTACAAAGCTGGAGGCAGAGGAATCAGCATGAAAAAAGACAAAGGAGGCTTCTCAGCCTGCCCTTCCCTTCCCTCCCCCCCTTTTTGCCTCAGAGAACAGCTGAAAGCTTGCTGGTGTGCACGAAAATGCGGTTATGTGCACATTGCTAACTGACTTAAAATAAACAAGGAGTGAAAACAGAACAGAGCAATCAGACTTCCCAGCTGGGTTGAGCTCGCAACAGGGGAGTTCAGACATCCAGAAATGCAGGGTGAAAACACTGATATCTGTAAATACTGGACTTTCCCCGATGCCCGATTACTCCACTTCCAAAGTGGGCTGCTGCCATCATGAAGAGTCACCCTGACTCCCCCAGGAGGTGCTGCTTCTGCTGCTCTTTGCGCGAGCCCGGCCTTCCGCGGGAAAGAGCGACAGAGGACTTGCCTCGGACCCATGACCCCAGGCCGATGGCTCGGCATGCTGCAGGCGTCGTAGTGGGGGGGGTGTTTCTGCAGAGCCAGACGGTGGGGGGGCTCGGAAGCACTCCGGAGAGACGGTCCCATCCCCCCCCCGTGAAGCGAGGGGAGAAGGGCGATGCAGAGGAGCAAGCGAGGGGGCGGAGGTGGAGGCAGGGGCGGCCGCCAGCCAGCTACAGCGCTGCGCCCTGCCCACGCTGCTGCGTGTCCTCCTCCTGCAGCCAGCAGAGCTCCTCCCAGCCCCGGCGCTCCTCTCAGCTGCTGCTGCTGGTGTCGCCTGGCTCAATGGAGGGCGCTCCTGTGGGCTGCACGGCACTGCTGCCTCCCTTGCTGGCCAGGCGCGCCAGCGGCTGCCCCTGCCTCTCTTCCTGCGCCCTAACGGCCGGCTCGCGCTCTAGGCGAAGGCCTAGTTCACCTAGCGGGTGAGCCGGCCCTGTGAATGTCATATTCCTCAATACTGTCTAGTGTGCGACCACCCAGATTAAGAAGAAGAAGAAGAGATTGGATTTATACCCCGCCCTTCACTACCCAAAGGTGTCTCAGCTCCCGGATTAGAGTCCGCACACTTAACCACTACACCAAACTGGTTCTCACCACTAAGGCACGAGGTCTCCCCCGCTACAAAGAGAAGGTGACTTAGCACCCTAGGGAAAGGCCTGTTCCTCAGGTTAACTGCAAGAGCAAAGTGTGCCACTGTGTAACCGTCAACCTGTACATTCACACGAGAGAACACACAAACAGTAATTTTGCATGCAAATAAAGTGTTCCTTTCTAAAGAGTGTAGCACAACACAATTAACGTAGCCAGGAATGCACAACACTTCCAAGCCTTTCACTTTCAAACACTTAAGCACACATGGAAACAAATGTTATAACGAGAGAACACACAAACAGTAATTTTGCATGCAAATAAAGTGTTCCTTTCTAAAGAGTGTAGCACAACACAATTAACGTAGCCAGGAATGCACAACACTTCCAAGCCTTTCACTTTCAAACACTTAAGCACACATGGAAACAAATGTTATATATCTATCTAACTATCATCTATCTATCTATCTATCTATCTATCTATCTATCTATCTATCTATCTCTATCATCTATCTATCATCTATCTAACTATCTATCTATCTATCTATCATCTATCTATCTATCATCTATCATCTATCTATCTATCTATCATCTATCTATCTATCATCTATCATCTATCTATCTATCATCTATCTATCTATCTATCATCTATCTATCTATCTATCTATCTATCTATCTATCTATCTATCATCTATCTATCTATCTATCTATCTATCTATCTATCTATCTATCTATCTATCATCTATCTATCTATCTATCTAACTATCATCTATCTATCTATCTATCTATCATCTATCTATCTATCTATCTATCTATCTATCATCTATCTATCTATCTATCTATCTATCTATCATCTATCTATCATCTATCTATCTATCATCTATCTATCTATCTATCTATCTATCTATCATCTATCTATCATCTATCTATCTAT